CCCCCCCAAAAAAATATTCAATTATTTCCTTAAATATTAATAAGCTTTTTAATATTCAACTATAATTCTTATTTTTTTTTTGTTTTTTTTTTGGAAAAAAATTAATTAATTTATTTTTATTTTAAGTTAAAAATTATTTTATATGCCTATGATAAATGTGGTGAATCGTAGATATCATTAGCTGTATGCCTGTATGTCTGTATTTGTCAATTGTTTTTTAGAAAACTATTTATTTCAGTACATTGGTATGATTATGAACCATGGAACAATATAGAAACGAAACTCGATCAGCTGATTGGGGGGGGGTCTTGTTTACCTATGATCTGAAGTCTGAGCCTCCGAAAAACATGAAAATAAGCGATGATGATTCGGATAAAAAAGAATATTGGAAATTAAACGCCTTCTATGTCATCATGGACTCAATTATTTGCAGTATGAAAATACGATTTTCTGAATAAAGTTTATGCCTTGCTACTTCTGCTGATAGACTAATGCAATTTGATTATGAAGGAAGCTCATTCCTGGTTGAACATTATAAGGTAGGTTACATTTATACAAACCTTTTAGTATTTACTATTTACAATGTAAAACATTTCATAATAAAAAATAAAATGTATTTTCAGGATATATTAAACATTAACGAAAAAAATTTAAAAAGCGAAATGTTGGTGTTCAAAAATATTATTGGTGATAATATAAAGGACTTCAATTTTATAAAAGAAAATTTGAATAAAAAAGTGTTTCCAAATTTATATTTAATGGTACAAGTAGCCATTACTTTGCCGATTTCATCCGCCACATCAGAACGCTCTTTTTCAGCTATGAGGAGGATAAACACATATTTACGGTCCACAATGAACCAAGATCGGTTTAGTAACCTATCAATACTCCATATTGAAAAAGACATTGAGATTCCAATTGAACAAATATTAAAAATATTTATTGATAAAAATAAAAGAAAAATGAAACTTTGAATAAATAAATAGATTTTGTTGTTGTGTACTTGTGTTATTATATTTTTTGGTGAATTTTTAGGGGGTGTGGGGGCATCGCCCCCACGGGTTACTTTTCATATAATGTCAGGTGGGGGCTACAGCCCCCCCAACATTTTAGCCCTAGTTGCGCCACTGCGGCCTCGCCAGTCGTCGATGAGTTGTTTACTTGTACGAGTCGTGAAAATGTCAAATACCTAATATTTCATTCCAAATGTTTTCATTGTAGGTGCTGGGTAATTGCGTTCCAAAATTAGACAGAGAATGACTAGGTACCTACTTAATTAAAATTTATAAAAATGACAAATTTTATGAACTTCACAAGTATTCATTTTATTAAGTTTTATTGTTAAATGTATAAAATAAAAAGGAGTAAAATAATTTTAAAATTAATGGGTAAATTCTAATTATTTTAAAATTTGCTCGTGAATTTTTTACATAATGCATATTTTGAGTGCATAATTTAAAAATTTTAGAGCATGAATGCATGCTTATCTATACATTTTTTAGTGCATGAACTTACGAGCCTTGGTAATTACCATTTATGATATAATAAATGGTTGCTCTTAAAAGTATTTTTCAAGTTATTTTTACCATAAGAATTGTAATACGTTGCACACGCATCAGTAAAAAGGGTTAGAAGCATTGATGTAACTGAATAGTTTAAGTTTGCAGAACGCCCACATAGTCGTAATCTGATTTATGAACGTAAGCTGTAAAGGGTACTTTTAAAAAATAAACCCATTTGAAAGATTAGATTATAATTTTTTTTTAAAAGTTCCTTATTAATTTTTAAATATTTTCTCATGTATTTTATTTGAAAAAAATTGAAACTCATTCATCTGCTGTATCTTAGGGATCAAGTATTCGAGTGTACATCTCATCATTAAGTATATTCGCTGTAATGTATGTATTAAATTTAAATTCCTTGGAGGCACTCCAGACCACCTGCCAGAGTGTCAGCCTATATTTCTAACAATATTTTATTATATAAGTATTTATATTGCTATTGCCCATTAGTAATTTTTTTTCTCCTTGTGACTAGTAATGATCAAAACAAGACCAAAACCAAGACTAGCAAGACTCACTTAGTCTTGGTCTTGCCGTCTTGGGCATACACGTTAGTATTAATCTCGGTCTTTCAGGTTTTGCAGACTCAGTCTTGGTATTGTTCATGGTCTCGCGCAAGACTCTTACAAGACTTGTTATTTCCTAAAATGTATAAAAAAAAATTAAATATCTGTCTCAGTTGTGTGCCTGTGTGTATAAGTTTTTGGCCAAGACCTCTGAGATGAAACTTAAGTCAAATATAAATATATAGCAGGGGCGGAGTGGCTCAACAATTCTTACCGGGCAAACAGATATTTTCAGGCCACATAAATTTATTTCAGGCCATTTTTTTCCATTTAATTTCTTACCATTTATTGTCTTATTGCTAGATGTGTGCTTACCATTTTTTGATTGGGTGAAGTATGAAACAATTTAATAATATTGGTGGTTCACATATCACATTATTAATTTGTTTTCGTTGTTTTTACAGTCATCAAAAACAGCTAAATATTTTAAATATTAATTATTTTGATCACACCAGGACCAGGCCACTTCTTATATAAGCAAGCCAGGCTACCGGGCAAGGCACGCAAGGCCACATGCCACAAGGCAGCAACTTTAGATCACTTTATCAATTTTGAGAAAATGAAATATTAGTATTTTATTATGTAATAATAATTCCAATTATTTCTAATCTTTTTTTCAATAATTCGACATTTCCTCGAATACTGATCAAATTTAATAACTATAAAAATAATTTCTTATTATTTTCGTTATAAATATTAGTTAATTCAATCTAGTACTAGACTAATATGTTTTCGGGAAAAAAGAAAAATTGCAAGTCTTGTAGTGTTGGTCTTCGTCTTGGTCTCGCACTCTCGCCCCGCCTTAGCACCGTTGTTCTGACTTTATTATAACGTAATAGGTATGTTGTATGTATTACAATTTAATAATGGTCATTTTCGCCCCGAATAAATGTTTAATAGCCTCTAACTCTATGTCATGCCTACAAGCTTTAGTTTCCAACCCTTTCAACTCTCACCTTTCCCCTCTTGTTCTTTGTATTAAATCTCTTGTTTTCAACTCAATCAATCAAACTACATTATCCACTACCTTGGATTTCCAGTCACATTGGTTAAAGTAGTAACGAGGTAGCTGATAATTTGGCTAAATACACATCTCATCTAAATTATCCCTCTCATACGCATCTACCTGCACAGTCTGACTTTATCTCATTTTTAAAACGCTTCCTATATCTACTCTGGTCTTCCTATTGGTATAACTTACCGGCTAAGTTCGTTTCGAGATATAGACATACAATACCAGATATCATTAAAAATATTTGGTTTAACCACCTCAAATTACAAAGACCGCACATAGTTCAATTTAATCGTTTACTTATAAAGGATATTCCTTATTACCTAGCCACTCTTACAAGCTTGGTTTGAACAAAATGCCGCTTTGTACACAGTACACTTCATTCAAATGAGTCATGAGTGTATCTTGCTGTGACCTCCCTCATATTTTATTTAACTGTCCTGCTCTTTCGTTTAAACGACAAATTCTATTTGACACTTAAACCTCTTAATATTCCTCTCAATTTTTACTCTATTTTAAACACCAAATGTGAAACAGCCATAAAAATGATAATCATTTTTATACTGGAGGCTGAATATAATATTATAATATGTGATGAACTTATCTGTTGTTAATCTTAATTTCGAATTGTTTATTTATCTATTATATAATTGTTAGGTTATTATAGTTTTATACTAGTAACTTTAATAAAAAAATAAAAATAAAATAATGGTCATATCTTGATTTAAAATTGAAATATTGTAAAAAAGTCAAAGTAAAAACACAGTTGAAGTTCTAAACTTTTAACTTTGATTATAATTTATAGGTAAATTCACTTAAATAATAAATTTAGTAATACTAGGTTGGTTCTGTTAATTCACTGTGTTGCAGGTGCACTGGTGGGTCTGAGACATAAAATAAATAGTGCGCTGATGTCTTCTTAGAAGTTTAAGTTTTTAGTTTTAAAGTCTTAAACATGTCTAAGGTCAATGGTCATCCTATAATAAATAAAGTTAACAAAATAGACATATAACTTATATATAATATAGTTATTATGTTTATTATACTTTATTAATATGGTTAATAATAATCGAACAATATTTCTGTATTAGAAAACAATTAAAAATATATTTTGCTTTTTAATGTTTATTGATTATACCTAGGTAACGACTAACGAATAACGATACCTAGGCAACAACTATAAAGTATTAATTACAGGGATGAGATAGCGATAGACGAACAATCAAACAAAGACTACAAAAATGAAATAGAATACAATTTATAATTTTAAAATTATAACAAATTGTTTTTTAAACAATAAGTTTTAAAATGACAATACTGAATACATTTCTATATACCTTCATTTTTAATTGGTTAACATCCCGAAAGGCAAAGCCAACCTAATACGATTACCAACGACTAGAGTGCTTGCAGGATAATATATTAATATCAATAATATCCCACCGAGGCAACATACCTATATTATAATTGAAAATGTATTATTAGTTTTTGTGATATTGATAGTACATGCAGACATGCAGTTAAGTACATACAATATTACAATATAATAATAATAGTAAATAATAGTAATAATAATAATAATAATAATAATAATAATTTATATATCATAATAAATACCACGATTTAAGTATGATATTATCTTAAATCGTGGTAAATACTAAATACTAAACAATGGTTATAATAGTACTAATAAATAATAATAATAAATAATATTAGTAATTATAATAATGACGATTGACGAATAAAGTTTGGTTCATTGTCATAACCGCGGTAACCTAAATAATCAAATGTCCTTGAATTATGATGAAGATACCGAAAAAAAAAATTGTTTTATCTGACTTTTCTGACCTGTTTCCGTGATAGTGATCCAGCTCTTCTCTTGTAGTCTTGTGAACATTTTTTTGTGTTCTTAGCAAATTGCGACTAGACGGTAGATGCTGAGTGAAAGATATTCACGTAGAGCCCAGGATGTATATTGTGCAATAACCGTATGATGGAATGGCGGAAGAGGAGTTTGATAGGCAGTTGATGTGCGATGAACCTGAAGTGATACAAAAAGTCATCGACATTTCATCACAAATGTTGATCAGCTTGAGGAATCTTTGCGAGACTCGCGCAGAACTTACTCAACATGAAATTAGAACTCTAGAAGTAAGCACTTTTACCCTATTTATTTTTAATATGCATTTTGTTTATACATACATTCTCAATCTTCTTCTAGGGTAAATTAGTGAAGTTGTTTTCAGTGCAGTTGAATAATAGGCATAAAAATCCGGGGCGGTTTGATTGTCAAAAACTAAGAAACTCGCCATCCATAAATCAATGGCTAGAAGTTGTAGGACTTAGTACACTTTCTGTGCAAGTATGTATAGAACTCACTATTAATGATAAACAATTATTACTAAATTATTTACTTGTAATAATTATAATTTTTTAGAGAATATGTGAAAATATTAGCTCTATTGAAGCATTATTGTTAAAGTCTGAGAATGAATTGAAATCAATTCTTCCAGAATACTCTCTCAAAGATGAAGAACTTAGACGATTAACTAGAGCATCTTATAATTTGAAAAAATATAGTGGTATGTTTTATGTTTAACCATAATAATATTAGACACATTTTAAACTTAAACATATTTTTTAATAGTTTATATTATTTTATTTATTTTACATTTGGATTGTTATTATATACAGTTAATATTTACATATATCTAAATGTTAATATTATGTATCTGTGCTTAACTATATGAGAGATCAAGGTACTCAGGAGATCATTATTTGACTTAGAAAGAAATTTGCTTTTAGGTTATCAAACATATAGTTTGATGAATGATTAGACATTTGGTTTTAGATAATAAAAGTAGGTTTAAATAATTGAATTTTTCATTAAATTTAGAAGAAATTATGTTTTAATTCTTAAAAAGATTTTTCTAATGTTAAGCTTAATTTTAAATACAAATATTTGGGGATACGATCAATAAGTTTTGTAATATTTTACTTTTACAATTGTCTTTTTGATTTATCTCCGATACAACAAACAATATCACCAGCCAAAGTATAATTACAAAGATATATTATGGTTTAGGTTCATACTGGTTTGGTAGGTATTACTTAAATTTAATTCTTGTAATTTCCTATTATTATTAAAATGCAAATAATCATTAATTGGTATTTTAAAGAAAATCATCCAAAATTTTTAATTTTCAATAATTTTTTATTATACATTAATTTGTATAATATGTATGTTTGATAAAGTATTAGTATATATAGGTACAGATCCAGATCTGGAGAGGGGCCACACAATTTTTTACAACAAATACAATTACAATATTGGATTCACAGTCCTCAGATATGTATAATATATTATCATACCTATCTGTGATTTGAATAAAGTAGAATACAAATTGGGAAAATTATATGTTGGGGGGGGGGGCTGGGCCCCTAACTCCCTGGATCCATCTCTGAGTATATAATATGGTAGCTATGGTTATATATCATAAAATTGGTGCATACGAGTTGGCTAGGTATTACTCAAACTAAATTTGTTTCTTTTTCTACCATAAACAATGTTAGTTAATAAATAAAGTTTGTCTTTTGGGTTCTATCAATAGATGGGTTTCCCTCACCACGTGTTTCTCTCAATGTTATTTATTATTATTTTATAGGTCTATTATCATATTTACTTACCTATTGTGTCTGGAATACAGATATTGAAAGTTCTTCAATAAAAAAAAAAAAAAAAACAATAAGATTGATTGTTATTGTAAAGAATTGTTATTTTTTTTTGTTATAAGAAATATACGATCTATATTAAGGTAGCACAATAGGTATATGTGATAAGAGACTTGAAAATAATCTGGTAGACGTGATTAAGAAGTCACCCACTAGTGACTCTGAGCATGAGGAGTGATAGTAAAATGTTGAGGTACAAGAAATTAGGAGAGAGACGAGGTTAGGTGAATTTTTATTACAATAGATTTCTGCACCATCTCCTTTTCAGACAACATTGAGGATTATTAGGGAGCGTTAAGGTATTTAAGTTGCTAATTATTGGGTTATTATGATTTGTCAAGTGTGAGAAAATTCGCTTGTAAAAAAATATTTTAAAGAATTTAATTTAAAAAAATAGTTTATGGGAGACCATAATTATAAAAATTAATGAGTTATAGGAAAAAAACAAAATATAATAAAAATACTTTATAAGTATTTTGTAATTTAGTCTATTGTGTTTCACAACGTCAATATGCTTATATAATTAGTTTTTTTAGGTTTAATTAAGTTCTTTCATTTGGAGTTACATTGCTATTTGTTTAATCTACAAATATTAACTGTTAGTTGAGAGCAGAATTTGTAAATATTACTTAACATAAGATTTTTTAATATTTTTAATTTATAAGTTTTTGTTTATTTTATGTTGCTATTATCTAGCACAAAAAAATGCCTCTAGTTTATTTGATTTTGAAATATCAAAAATCATTAATTATTTTAAATAAAAATATTTTTCTAGTTTATTTCAACTGGTATTCCTTAGATAAAAGCTTTGTTTTTAGGTTTTGGAGGTCAGAAATGATTTTGGCAACATCTTACATCTTAACATCATACTGTAATAACTTCATAATGGTTATGTTTATTTCGATACTTTCAGTCCTTTCAGGGGAAATATTACCTAACTTAACCCATTTGATTCCTTCAGATCTGTCAATAGATATTTTTACAAGCTTACCTTACAAGCTCATTACTTAAAATTGAATATGTTAATCTTGAAGATATTGCTCCTAAGCTAGCTAATACATTAAAAATTAGATCTAATATAGTTTTTGAGCTTATCAACTTAAAATTACTGTTAAATTATAATCAGTAAATCTTAATCAACTACAATGCTGTATGGTGCATCTTTTGAGGCAATTCTTGGGTCAATTTTTAGACCAATTTGTATATTTTTTTCCCAATAAACAGTTGTCACAGTTATTGGTTTAACATAGCATCATGGTTCATTAATAGAAGGAATACTATGCATAAGTTATCTATTTCTGGAAAATAAAGAATATTTAGTTTGACGTTACTTAAAATTAAACTTCAGTGTCCACAAATATCTCACCATATATTAAAAGTTAAATTTATATTTTAAAAACATAAAAATTAAAAAAATTATCTGATTGCTAATTATTTTTTTTGTGTTTTAGAAACTATAAGGGTCGGAAGCAGAACTCGAGAAAAATGTAAAATTACATTGTATTGGGATTCTTGGTATCGTCAATATGAAGTTCGTTGTGAACAAGCTGGGCATTCTCCATCGTCTGTCCAAGGTCATTCTCCTTCTTCATCATGTCGCCCTAGAAATACTCATTTAAATCATTACACTCCACCTTTAACCCCTACTTTATTTAATCATAATCATAGTAAGTAAATAACAAATTATTTTAATAGTATAAAATGATAATTTCAGTGGTTCATAAATATTAAAGTTCATACTTTTCTTTTCTGAACTTATATATGATTTTTTGTAATCTGTAGTGATCCAATATCTGTTAATAATCGTTTATTCTTCTTGTTTATATCAATCACTTTAGATTTATTATTCTTTCATCGTTTTTATACAATTTGGATTTAGATATCTACTAAAATATTTGAATAGTTATAAATTATTCAAATCAGAAATAATTTTTGGTTCTCAGTAATTTTTAATAGTCACTCTTTCCCAGCTGCTAGCGAATGGACAGTAACACAGGGTATTCTTACAACTCTTCATGGAAACTAATCTAACTTTCAAACTTCAATTCTAATTTATTAAATGATTATTTTAAATATAAATGTTTATTATTAGGTTTTTGTATACAATTCATTCATTTTAATAGTAACTTTTTTTCTATTATCTCCTTGACTTACTTTCTTTTCAAAAGTCAGTGCTGGAAATTTTCAATGCATATGCTATGCCACTGACCCATGAATAACATTTATCGTAGGTTAGTTGTATAAATGTATGTGCAAATATTGAAATTCAAAAATATTTAAATATTTGTATTTTACCTAATTAAATTTTTACTTGCTTAGACTGATTTTTAATTGAATGATTTATTGTTTGTACAATAGAACCTCATTATCCGGACCCCATTAGACCTGACTGTACTTAATCCGGGCAGCCATTTAATAACACATAAACCCGTTGTTTGACCTGCAGACTAAAATAAATATGAAAACAAGTTCCACAAATTTCTCTAAATGCATGTTATCTCTATTATTTTTACAAAATACCAATTATGTTTTGTCAATCATGTTATTCAATTTTTATATAATACATATACTTAAATTTAAAATATATACACAGTTTTCGCTTAATCTGATGTACAATTATTATATAATTAATATAAACTAGCAATATTTTATTTACAGGAACCACTGATAGTCCTATTTCTAAATTAACATCACCAAAAAGTCGACGGAATTTAAATCCTGATGTAGTTTTTTCTAATGGATTAACAACGCCTCAATCTCCAAAACCTTTAGTTCCTGATATTTGTGTTAAAACTGGTCACAATTTTTCAAATTTACTGCCTATGCTTGGTTATTGTGAACAATGTTCTGTACGAGTATTTGTGGGTATGTTTTTTTTAAATTCTGCAACAAATTTATTTTAATTTTTGTATATTATATAAATATTGTAGGTGTTAAGTGTAAAATTTGTAAATTTCGATATCATAAGGGCTGTTTGTCAAAAGTTCCATTACATTGTACGAAGAATGCTGCAACAGATGATAATGACTCAACTCTTGATGGTAAATTAAATTTTGCTAAACAAATTTATGTATGTTCTACAATATTTTTTTGTTGTACAGAGCTAATTAGTTCATCAGCTAATCATTCGCCTAATTTTAATCGCCCTACTTCACACAAGACTTCTTCTTCATTATTATCAAAGAGAAAAACTAGAATACCATCTATCAATTCAATACCAGTTTCTGTAAGTAGAAATAATGTGTATAGAATTGTATATATTAATTAAATTTAGACAACTATATGTTAAAAAAAATTGAAGTATCAGTCTACCATTGTTCAAATGTACATTTTTTGTTTCTGATTTTGTTTTTAGTCTAAAAGTGGTGGAGCTGAATCAAGTTCCGCCCCATCTAGTACAAATAGTTCAACACCTTCAAGTCCTGCTCTAGTCAATACCAGACAAACACATATTTCTTCTTTACCAACACCAGCTATTACTCATGAACAATTCAACTATCCCGACACCCCCATTTATTCACAAGAATTACAGGTACTTATACAATTTGTGTCATGTATTTTTATTAATAGTTTATTTTATTATAATAGTAATTAATATACATTGTTATAATTATTTATTTTAGAAAAATCAATGTAGATTTATTGAATCAAGGTGTGGGAGTACAGATTCAGAACAAACATCAATTAGAATGGATTCTTCCGAAGCTCAAAATTGGGATACCGATGAAATGGAAACAAGAGGTTGGCCAAGACAAAATAGCGTGAGTTAATTTTTTCCAAAACATTATTTATTAATGATCATTGCTGTTTGCAGACTTAAAAAGGTTATTTAAAAGTTTAGTTTATAATTTTTTTATTTTCTTTTATACATTTTCAAATTGAGTATTTTTTGTAGCTGTGCATTTAAGTTGTATACATTTAAAACAAAGGATGACAGAAGAATAGTTATCACCTTTTGCTTATTATTAAAGACTAAAAATAAAAATAACTTAATAAAAAATGCATACTTCCTTATCAGGATTTATGCTTTAAATATTTTCTTAAAAATAATTTATGTATTTTTATTTCATATCGAATAGTTTGATCAAATAGAATTTAACATTGTTTTGCTCCTGAGAATGTTTAAAAAATGTTTTAAATGTTGTAGCTATCTCTTCAAGAATGGGACATACCTTGGGATGAATTAAACATGTGTGACAAATTAGGAGAAGGCCATTTTGGTACTGTATACAGTGGAAATTGGCATGGACCAGTTGCTATCAAAGTAATAAATATGGACTACTTAGATTATGAAAAAACTTTAGAAGCATTTAAAGCTGAAGTAAGTATTTGAAACATATTTTATGTTAGGTTGAAGTAACACAGAAACTGTTTTAGGTGGCAACCTTTCGTAAAACTCGTCATGAAAATCTTATTTTATTTATGGGTGCCTGTATGAAGCTTCCTAGATTAGCCATTGTAACAAGTCTTGCAAATGGTATGACATTATACAGACATATACATGTGCTCAAAGATAAATTTAATATGAGTCGCACCACAATGGTTGCTCAACAAATATCACAGGCAAGCTGTTTTTATGTAGTTAATTTCTTTAATTAAACTAACAATTATTAAATTTTTTTTTCCATAGGGTATGGGATATTTACATGCGAAAGGTATTATACATAAAGACCTTAGAAGTAAAAATATATTCTTAGAAAATGGGAAAGTCATAATAACTGATTTTGGCTTATTCAGTGTAACTAGATTATGTTTTCGAAACCGGTAATTATAAATAATTAAAAAGTGGAAATAAATGTCTACTAATTAAATTATTATAGGACCCAAGATGGTCTCATTGTGCCACCAGGCTGGTTATGCTATTTGGCACCAGAATTAGTTCGTAATTTGCGTGTTCACCAAAGACCCGAGGAAGAAGATTTACCATTTAGTAAAGCTTCAGATGTTTATGCTTTTGGGTAATTACAAATTTATTTTACTTTTAATAAAGAATCACAATTAATTAAATAATGTTAAGTTAAATAGCAATTCTACTTATATCAACATAATAATAACAGATTCAGCTAATACTTACTTAATACATAATTATTTAGTAGTAAATTCATTTTTGAAAAAAAATATATTATGCAGTGAACTCGTGATATAACGAGTTTCAAGGAACTGAGAATAAAGTTTGGTGTATGGAATCTTTATATCAAAAGCCTAAGTCAACAAAATTTGTTTTAACAAGATTTAATAAAAAATTCAAATTTTAAGGACATGAATATTAGTCTTGTCGCATAATAATAGCCAAAAAAACTCATAATTGTGAGGTCTTCACCCATGAAAACTTTGTTGTATAGAGGGGACCAAGATACATTTAATATTTCGTTATACAAATATATCAAGAGATTTTCAAGGGAACGACAGTTTTAATTGTTATATTGAGATTTTTATTATTTCAATAATTTGTTATATATATATATTATTATATAAATATTCAATAATTTACCTCTAGTTAATTGTATACTATATCCATTACATTTACTTGTATTATAAAATGTGTTTATATAATAGAACCGTTTGGTATGAGTTGTTATGTGGTGAATGGCCGTTCAAATCAGCCAGTCCAGAAGTTATTATTTGGAACATTGGGCGTGGTATGAAACAAAGATTAGCCAATTTAGAAGCATCTGGTGATGTCAAAGTAAAGATTATTATTCAAATTTAGATTATGATATTATTGCTTACATTATTTATTAATATATAAAAATTGTAGGATATATTGATGACTTGTTGGTCGTTTAACCCTGAAAAAAGACCAGATTTTGCTCAAATGCTTAAGACACTTGAACGATTGCCACGTAAACGTTTAGCTCGTAGTCCATCACATCCAATTCATTTATCGAGATCAGCAGAATCCATATTTTAAGAAATAGTTTAACAGTATTATAACGTGGCTATACCAATGACTTTACTTATTTATATGGTATAATAATTATTTGTAATAAAACAACTTACAGAGCTCAGTTATACAGGTAATCTTGATTAAAGCGCTTTATGTAATGCAATTATGTATTTTCCATTATTATTATTATTATTATTATTATTATTATTTTAATTATTATAATTATTATTATTATTATTATATTTGTTAATTGTGTATTATAGTTCTATTGTTATCTATTTATGGACTGTTTGTATAGTATATTCTGTTTATATTGTGTTGGCAGTCAAATTTATTTAAATTCATGTAAATGTGATACATACACATATTATACAAAAAAAATTAATGATATAAAACAGTAATTACTATTATCCATCTAGTAAAAATCAAATTAAGTAATTTGTCTTCAATTTATTTAAGAAGCACTAATAAAAATAAAAATATTAATTTAATATTTTTGAAAAGCTGTTTGCACTATTTAAAAAATATGCTTTAAACTATAATTATAAAATAATATGTACAACTATCAAACAATTGATTATTTAATTTATTTTTAATGTATTATTTATTTTAGAAACAAAAATATGCATGATAATATTCAATTTTGTTACCATGATTAAAATCAATTATTATGCTTGAATACATTTTTTATAATTTTGCAAATCACAAATATAATATACTTCTAGAAGGCAATATCCTAGTATACTCACTCAAGTGTAAATATACTTTACTCAATTACTCAAATGCTGTAATAGTTTTTGCATACTCAAATCTTAACATTATTTTTTTTATTGAGAACATAATATTAATTTAAAATGTATGGCTGATAAAATTTCATACATATTTTGGGAGATGTGGATGAAGTCATTTTTGACTGGTACCATTTTCAAGAGGATTGTATTATTTGAGATGATAATTGATTACTTTAAAATTCAAAGTAATTTTAATTTGTATGGCAAAATTAATGTTATTGTTTATAATAATATTAGTTGAATGTACCAATCTTTTAATTGTCAACTATGAAGTAACCAAAGATTATAATACACGTACAAATTATTGAATAAAAGCTGCAAATAGTTAATACAATTTATATTTGTAAACATGTACATGTTTTTGTCTAGTTTCAATTTGTATAACCATAAAAAATTGTTAACATGAATTTAAATGATAATAAGTATCATATGTATTACATGTATAATGTTTACAGGGATTGAAATTTGTTAAAGGCAGTTGCACACATGCTCCCTTCCCCTACCAACAGTGGCGCACAGAGGTATTTTGAGAGCACATGCAAATAACAAGTTACCCACCCACCCCCACGGATCACGAGAGCACATGCAGTTGCATCCCTTGCTAACCTATCTGGGCGCCACTGCCTACCAATACAAAAACAATGTGTGTTAGTCGTGTATCTGTATGGTGGCTCCTGTAAATGTACTGATTTTCTCCTAAAACTTATAATGATTAATGATGGTTGGTGTGTGCCAGGTGGTAAATCTCAGGATTTGACCCCTGTAAAAATAAAACTATTTGTTCCACTGGCTAAAGAGTATTTGATCAATTTGCATATACCTATTTACATTACTTATAACTTATAAGTCATCCAACACAAATTAATTGAAATAAAAATAATAAACTTCATAGTTCTATCGACTACAGAATTATTGATTGTAAAATGAAACTATTCAATTTTGACATGTTATTTTAATACTTGTCTATGCATAGATCCTACTTCATATTAATTATAAATGTTTTCAATGACATTGAAACCTGGATAAATTGAATCGGTCGTATGGAAAAAATTTTATGTATTGACACCCCAGATATTCTTTGGAATTATCAAAAATTCGAGTTATAAAGTTTGAGCTGTCAATCTTCCATTTTATTAGTATCAAAGACAACATATAAATGTGATTTGTAAAAAATCAAATTTTTTTAGTTATATTATGAATTATAGATACTTATAATGGATAAACTGTTAAGTTTAATGAACATCAGTGAACAATATCCATACAGAACTCTTTTATGAGATTTTTATGTAAATAAATTTCTGGACTTTTTGTTTTCTTTAGATTCTGAGAGAAGCGACAAATAATTTATGGGTTTTATACAATAATATTATTTTAAGTCAAATTTTTTTTGGTGTCAGTAAACTCACCTTATGGAGCAGTGAAAACTTAAAATCGGGTAAGTAAGTAGCGCTATGTTGTACTTTAGGTGTCGAAGTCATTGTAATGGATGTGCTAAATTTGAATTCAATAATCATTGTAAACAAAAAACAATCCTGGGCAAAAGCGATGTGTTAGCCTATAATATTACTAAATCAATTGTATGTTATTATTGTGATTCAAGTAATTTATTTTACTATTAGGCATTAGTAGTACAGTCTACAGTAGATTGAATTCATTTTTTTCAAAAATATTGAATTTGAAAATGTCATCATGTGTAATGTGTATACAATATAATAATATAAGTAAATGTCAAATTTCTATAAATAGCACAACACGATGATCAAAATATCATGTTCAGAAAAATAATGGTAATAAACATTTGGTGAAAATTGCATGTATCCTACGTACTACGGTTAATAGTTGTTGAGTTTAAACAGTTTGTTAATAATTAACAGGTGCATAAGAAATAACATATTATAAACATTTAGTGAAAATTTCATGAATCTACGGTTATTATTTTCAGAATTGAATTATAACTAAAATCGATTTTTCATAGAAAATCTCAGATTTTCTTAATTTTTAGTTTTTTTTTCTGGTGGTTTTTATAACTAGCTATTAGGACCCTTTTACTTTTTACCCTGCAGAGTACCAATTAGATTAACTTTCCTATCAGAAAAATAGCTGAAATAAAAAATCGAAGGGCTGTCATATAGTATGCGGTTTAATAAATTAAAAATATCATAATATTATAGCATAATTATTGAAGTAGTAATGTCTAGTAAAAAATTAATAATTAAAATATTGTTGTCAATGAATATAAATAAATATAATATAATACGTTTTACAAAAACTTCCGCCATATCTCTTAAAAATGCATTAAATAAATCTGATTTATTTATTCCTCGCCACCATGTTTCCATGAGATACCTGCAATAATATGTATAATTTAATATTACATTAAATTTATTTATATCAGGACTTGTACCACACATATTTTTAACTATTTTTAAGCGTAATGGTCTCCATAAACTTTCGATCCTCTGAGTGTGCGCTTGTGTTAGTGGATCAACAAAATTTTCGCTGTGGTTAACTGTATTATGCGTAAAACCATAGTGGGCGATCCCATTATACCCTGGCCATCCATTAGAGTGTGTAATAGAACCCAATACAACCTCTCTTTTAATAATGTCATATTGTCATGTAAAGTTTGCTTGTCCCGCTTTTCGACAACAAAATATCGTGCCTCACTATAGTCGCATAATCCAAACACCCAAGGACCATCCATTCGTCTACCATAATTTCTTTTACCATGTTCGTCTTCGATGTTTTCACTCGGCAAATCTGCAAGTCGATATCGACCTTTAACAACTTAATGATGATTTATAATATTTTATAATTAATATTCAATGTAAAATTGTATTTTATTACGTATTCAATTATACAATTATAAAATAGAAATTACCTTTATGATTTTTTCTGGATCCTCTTAGCAAACATTCGTCGACTTGTATGATGACATCAGGTCTTCCAAATTTATTACGTTTTTCGAACATTTTTAGTGGTATATCCCGACACAAATTCATCCAGTCACATACGGTGTTGGACGATCTTCCAGTTAAAGACATGATGGTTTTATTGGATAAACCTTGAGTAGTTGAGTCCAGTATTAGAACACTAGTTTTAACTGTTGACTGAGGCTTAGTCCACTATTTAGGCGACCATTGTTGTCAATATAAGTCCAAAAAGCATTATCTTTCCTATCTAATAGTATAAATATTAGTAGTATAATTATTATTAATAGAATAATTTTCTCACCTTAAGCTTTGTGTTGTTTGACATCCCTTTCTCTTACAACATAAAACTCTCCTTTCCTTACCTCTCTCCTTACGTAGATATAAATTCATAGCACTTCCACACTTAATACATTCGGCATTTTCATTATTTTCCACAAGATTTTTGCTAATTAAAAAATATTTTGTTGATTCGTCACTACTAATTTTTGAATAAAAATCTTTTGCCAACATATTGGGTGTATAAAATATGGTGTTAAAATGTGGTGTCGCGCAATAAATGACATACTGAGCTATTGAGCCAATACTTTTACAAAATGTTGAAGTATTGTTATACGTGTATAATGCAATTAAGATAAAGTATGTCTAAAAGATTCAAGTGTATCTACCTATTAAAAATAAACTTAAGCCTATGTAAAAACCGCAGGTAGACCGCATCCTATAGCAGCCGGTAGAACGCATTTGCCGGTAGATCGCATACTATATGACAGCCAATCGAAGCATTTTTATTGCCATAAAATGGTGAGTGGTGACAGATCCAGAAAAAATACACCATTGTAAAATCAATCAATACATTCGTTGCTCCTCTCAGGATCTAAAATGTTTCAATTTTTAATTTTAAAGGTGGTTTTTTCTACAAAATTAGGTCTAGTTGGAACTTTGGTTTTTTTGTAAAAAAAAAATTATTCTTAAAAATAAATGGGAGAAATAAAAGATCGAGCAAGAAGGAAACCACTCTACTGCATCGTGTAGTATGTGATGAATGTGTGTTTTATTGAGTAGGTAACTGTTATGACGCAGAATAGATAAATGACTTATGGAATATGGATGTGATAACTTTGTATTCATTGATAAATCATTGAATATGATAAATGATTTTAGTCTGAGATCATATGTTAGCTTATACATATTACTAACTGTATATCTAATATAAAAAATCTTCACAATATGAAAAATGTTTGTTACCGAACTCCTCCGAAAAAGCTGGACCGATTTTCATGACATCTTGTGTGTATATTAAGCAGGTCTCAGAGAGTGATATAAACTATTTTTCATATTCCTAGGTGTAAAGGGTGGCTCACACAAAATACTTTTTAATATTTAACGTGTAAATTGAATAATAATAATACTACTCACCGACTACCGAGCGTACAACACTATATGGTTACCGAATATTTGTATCAATATAAAAAATAAAAATAAAATAAAATACATGCAATTGACATAAAAGAAAAGCATTGTAGGTACGAATATTAGGAGTTTTGGTAAGTTTTGATGGAATATTTTTGTTTTTGAAAATGACAGCAATTAGACATACAAACTTAAGTCGCGGAACTCGAAATGCTACCAGTCAAAGATGTACAGTATCAAGTATAACACATCATTTGACGGATGAAAAGGTTAGGTTCACGGATTAATATACTTATATAGTTATATATTAATCCGTGGTCAGGTATCAGGTTGCAGGTTACTGGAAACCCGCAAGCTGCCGTGCCATTGCCATACCTACAATGTACAAGTTTATTTTAATTAATAACTTATTTTCTTAATTCTTTTGGTGGAAATTTGTATTTTTTTTTGTTTTTTGGTTGCCAATGGTTAATCGAGCAGAACAGGTTTAAGCATGCATCAAATTGAATCCTCGCACATTGCCTACCGAGGAGGATGAGTTGCACTTATAACCGCTCATCGGTGTGCCCACAATCAAAATAAAAAATAAAATAAAGACAAAACATATTAATATATTATTCATATAACCGTATAGAATCTTTTTACCACCACTAACCACTTCGACCATATTTTGTAGGTCACGGACCACTACAATTTTATGAAAACTAGGAAGACCTTTTTTTTTGCTCCTTAACAAGAATACACAAAAATGTCTATGTACTCTGATACCTACACACTTATAAAAGTGGAAAATACTTTTCGGTCGTCGGCAGCAACAACGATATGATAACCGTATAATATACGGTTCCTCAATAAGTCGTAATGTTTTTGGCTATAAATACTTTGTCATAGAAATCGAAGAAAAAATCTATAGTACCACCTATGACTGGCCCACGAACCACCAGTTGGGGAACACTGATATAGATAGTAGTATAGTATGCAGTATGCACCTAGCGGGGTCTGCAATCCACCTGTGGTGGATTGCGTATACCTGATAATATAATATTCGCATTATCACCAGTGGTGTATTGGTAAATATATTTATGGGTATACGCACTAATAAAATATGTATAATCTACCAAAAAAAAATTTTCTCGCTTCGCTCGTAGTCAATAATCATTACAATAATTAGGTGACTTAATCTCTTATATTATATTATTTTTATTTTATTTCTTTATTAAATTTTCAGTATTTTTACTAATATAATAATATTAAAATTAACACTGATCATCAATGGAACCGACTAGTATTCATTCTTCTTTGTCAAACGATACTACGATAAGTACAATAAGTCGTAAACTCGAATAGCAAGATTCAAGAAGGAAAATACCCATTATTGCAGTAACAATAATTTATAAATAAATCTATAAATAAACACCATAAACCATTTAATTGGCCATAGCCTGATAAACACTTAATAACATCAGTGGTTACAAAAACATAACATCGCAAGAAACACATTTGCCGCGCGTTATAATTTATAAATGACATAATACAGGTTGAGAACCATGGACTGAGCATTCATACTCCATATTGGTAATATTACATAATATTTTAATAACATCTATTTTTCAAAATGTTATTAATAAATTTAATTTAAAATTCATTATTATATTAAAATAACAATTTTTCCTATGAATAATTGGTTTTCGAGTTATTTTAAGAGCGTATACCCGTAAAATGATATTTTACATTGGGTATACGCTGAAAATCGAAAATCTGCTGACGGGTATACGGCGTATACCCGCGTATCCGTACCAATACACCACTGATTATCACCATTAGGCATCAAGTCTCTTATATAGATATGGTATTTTTAACGAGCAACGAAGTGCCCGGGATCAGCTAGTTGTATTATGTATTCATATTGCTATTATATAGAATTATAGTTTTTACTGTTATAGTATTACGGTAGGTTGAATTAATTATTTTTTAAAACAGATTACCCAGGTATTTATTATATTATTAATTATTGTCAGGTCTGGGATATTAATGCCCTAAAAGTGCATTTATGCCCTAAATTTTGATTTGAATGTTATTAATATACATTTTAAAAGATTGTAAAAAAGTTGTACACACAGCTCTGATCGTTTTGGTTTTCTTTAATCTAGAAACACTACTTTTTTCCTATCATTATTTTTTTATTATAGGTTTAGATCGTATATTTATTAACATATGCATAGTTATAGTTTGTTAAATATTTTTAAAAAATTCATGGAAAATTATGGAAAAATCATAAAATAAAATTTCAAATTCAACTTTTGGATTCAAAAAATGCCATACAAATAAAACATTGCTCTACAAAATGAAAAAATGTCCTTAAAGTTTAAAATTGTTAAAAATGCAAAATAAATCTTCTTATACTGATAAAAATTACATGAAACGAGTTAAGTTATTAGAAAAAAGTAGTGAGATTTTTATATTAATTGATATTCCCTCAAGATAAAAATATTACCCGAGTTCAGAATAGTGAATACTCTTCCAGATATTTAATTTGAATGTTGAAATATTTTAGCTATAAAAAAGGTACAATTACAACTTACTGATGAGTGATGACACTGTAGACTGTACGTACTATGCCACTACACATTACATTATAAATGTTTATCCAAGCATCAACGTAAGTTCGACCCAGTGGAGGGCTATTTTAACACAATAGGGGCGAGGATTTTAGTTTAGCTATCACCCAATATTTTATCAAAAAAAATAGCAATAAATATTTTTTACAAACAATTTATATGTATATACGTATCGTTAACATAAAATATACGTTTAATACTTATCAAATCTACATTTAGAAGTAATTTCGACCAACCAATAATCAATATATATAATCAACGTAGAATAAACGTAATTTTATCGCGAAAAATGTATGAATATTTATATACGTATTGTTAACGTAAAATCAACATAATTCATCATTTCATCACATATTATACGAATATTATGCGAATAATAACCAGGTAGGTATATACAAACACCAAAGTTATCCTTATTATTATAGTTATTATACACGTAGATCATACGTGCCATGTTCACAGGGATATATTCATTTTTGACAAAAAAAAAATACATTTGAAAAGTCATCGTGTATAAAATATAATAATATACTTTAAAAGTTGCAAGTGCCCACGTTTAATATTTTTTATTTACAACAAAATAACATAAATCGTTATTTAATATGTAATTTCGACCACAGCATTTGAACATAAAAAAACTAAAAAAAAAAAACTGTCTAATCATATTTATAGATTCTTTGGCTACAGAATAATCTACTTGCACTGAACCTTGTTTTGCATTTTCAACCCTTAAATATAAAAGTAAAAAATTTAAAAAATTTAAATCTATACGATATTGTTTGGACATTTTGAATGATATGAATGTTGTCAAAATTTGAACTATAAATGCTTATAACAAAAAAAAAGTGTCGATGTGTTTTTAATATTTTTCAACTGAAATTGTAAATATATATTAGGAGCCTTATAATAAATGTACATGCTTTTTGACCGACAGAAAATATCAGTAATTAGCACAAAACGAGTAAAAATATTTTATCAAATACATGGATTGATAATACAAACATATGGTGTGAATTTCAGTTATTTGTTTTTGAATTACGACAAAAAAGAAAATCACATTATGAGTAATGGAGTGAATATCCAATGTTTTAAAAATTTCAATTTCAAACACTCATAAAACTTTAATCTGACTTTCCGGTAGATTTTTTTTTTATATAAAGTTAGACAAACTTATAAAGAATCTTGTATTCAATTTTTAAATCATAGATGTAAAAAGAAAATTTTTATTTAATTTCTAACCCAAAATAATTTGCGAATTTTCACGATTTTTTCGAATTTTGTCGAAATTCCTAATTCAAACGGTCGTATAAAATATTGTGGATTTACGCTCAACTCTTTTTATAATTTCCACTAAAAACAACTTACGAGAAACCTTGTATAACATTTTCAGTTTTTTTTTGACTGAGTGTAAATTATTTAATCGATATTAGTTAAAAAAAAAACAAATAATATTCGAAAATTTCAAATGCTTCTAAATAGTTTAACACACGTCAAAATACTCTGAAAATTCTATGTCGTATAGAAAACGCAGATACAAACATTCAGTGAAAATTTCATGTATCTTTTATTTTAGAGTTACATCAAAAACCAAAATCGGTTTTGTTGAAAACCATACTTCCGAAAAAATTTCCGTTTTTCCTCAATTTTTTGTCTGTTTTTCTAGCCGCTTTTAAAAACTATTGAGCATTTTTACTGTTGACCCCCCAAAGTACTAACTAGAATAAATTTCTTACCTATAAATCGTTGTTGAAAAAAATCAAAGCACTTTTACTTTTCAAAAACTTGATGACAGTGACAAAAAAAATTTACCGTAGACATTTAAAATTTACATCAAATGTTTATTTCATCAATTCATATACTTGACAAAATTTAAAAAATATTTTGACTCGTTTTAAGCTGTTGACGTAAATTTTCAATTTTCATTTTTTTAAATTTTTTTCTCTATAAATGTCAATATAATTTTATTGGTTGGATCAAAAAGTATGAAAATGTAATACAAGATTCTTCATAACTTGTTACAATAGCAGTTGAAAAATATTAAAAACACGTTGATAATATTTTTTTTAAAAATAATTTACTGTTCAAATTTGGCAATTTTTATAGCTAAGAATTGGAAATTTAAAACAAGGTTCCACAGTTTTTTCCGTAACTAATATATCTAAAAATATATGAATTATTATTAATGTTATTATTTACAAACATTTTAAGTTCAAGTTTAGACTAAATTGCATATTAATACAAAGAATAACATTTATAATTTGTTGTAATTCTGTTCCGAAACAGTCCAATTTTACATAGGTACATTTAATATTTTTCTAGCATCACTGGTAATTTAAGAATAATATTAATTCAACTTACCGGCTTCTATATTAATAATAATAGTAATAACAATATAAAATACCTATCCTAAGCTGACATACCGTCTCCGCTCAAAATCGTTTTTCGTATACAATGATTTGATATCATTGAATTCATATTTAAATAATTTAATACCAATAATACCATCCATTACAGCGACGTGACGTCTTATTATAGCACAGCGACATACACTTACCCGCTTTTTTTGAATTGTTATTACTTATGCCAAAAAAATAAACTCATAATATATCATGACTACGAGTTAAGATAGGGGTATTCGTGGTTCGTGATATTCATACTATTTTATAGATCTTATACAAGTTTAAGGTCTATGGCATAGAGTAAGAATATGTAGGTCTATAGTGATATTAATCATAAATAATATAAGAATTTTATATCCACGGTCTTAGATTATATCACAGACTAAAGTCTATATTCCTTAGATCATATACTATATTATATAGTATATGATCTAAGATATATTCTTGGTTCGTGAATGAAATTGTTCTATGATGATATTAAATATTGATATATGTTATCAGAGTTATCTGTTTTCTATGATCACGTCTCTGATTAAATATGTTATCACAATGAACGCTTATCACTGACCACTAACCGCATTATCCTACTCTTTGACCAGACGATTGTGACGTGTTTAGCGTGGAATAGATTAAATGATAATGATTTGGTTTTGGCCCAAAAATTCAATTGCCGGAACGTCTCTCGTGAGTCGTGAAAGGTTATTGTGTTCTAAGGTCAAGGTTTTTCTTCTTATGACCTCATGATTGACTAATTTTCGTACGTGGTAAAAGTAGTATGGAAAGTATTAACGACGATAAAATACAGAAGACACTCGTGACACCGGGTATTGGTGGTCAGCCTACTTTCTCCAACGGAACAAAAGTAAGTCGAAATAAAAAGAAATCCTTTTCCTGTTTCGGGTTCTTTGAAGTGCACATAGTTATTACTTTTTTTTTTCGTAGGTATCGTTTCATTTTGTGACGCGAGTTGTAAGCAGTAATAGTGTAGTAGACGATAGTTACAAATGGCCCAAGCACATGGAAATCGTTTTGGGAAAAAAATTCAAATTGGAAGTCTGGGAAACTATTCTGAAATCAATGCGTGAGGGAGAAATTTCAAAATTTATTGTTCACAAAAGTGTGAGTATACCAAAACTTAAAAAAAATTATTACCAATTATTTTTCTTTAGAATTACGTATGCAGTTAATATTTTTGCATGTTACCTACTTATGCTATTTTAGAATAATATTAATGTTGAGTAAAAGTAACATTGATAGTTTATAACCTTAAATATTACTATATATATTTTTAAGTTCCTATTAAATCCTATTTTTATTAACATTTATAATGGATAATAATTATAATTATATATGATATTTATATCGACATCTAATATTTCAACACATAAAACATATTTTGATTTATTTATACTACCTTTACCTACTTAATGTTATTTATGTTTGGTACTAGCTATGGAAAATTAAAACAATAATTATTACTGAATTATTAAGAAAACTGATTTTTACTGTTCAATTATACTTTGGAATATTGAATTAAATATAAGTATTCTTAAAATAAATTATAAAATATTATAAGACATTAAGAACTCTATTCTTATGGTAATTAACTAACAACTAATGAGTATGATAAATTTCCCACTATTCTATCTATTATAAGGTTTAAAGGTACTTCTGCTTTTAATAGTACTTACCTATTTAATATTTATTATTAAATCTTTAATGATATCCACTACTTAATGTTAAATCTATTTTAGCTTAATTTTTATTATTTTTTGTGTTTACTTAACATAAAATGTTTTAATAAAAATCAGGTGTGCTTAAAAAAAAAGGGTAAATGTATTTTAATATTTGTTGTTTTCTATAAAAATTAAACTATTTAAAATTTAAAATAGAGAATTAATTTTAAACTACTTGGATACTCTATTGAAATAAATAAATAATCTTCTCATACGTTTATTTTGTATTACAATAACATTTTTTTTATCTGTACCTTTCTATTTACAGATGCAGTAAATTAAACTTAAACCAAGTATTTTCAAACTGACTATCATAATTTTATACTTATATATATATTTTTAAAATAAAAGTTTTTTATTTTAAATAATATGAACCAACTTGATTTAAAACAGGAATATCGTATATTTATGTAAAGTAAAAGAGACTACTTTTCTCATTTAGGTATAACATGAATAATAAGCAAATAATAAATGTTATAGTAAAAATGTGTGATTAATATTTGATATTAATAACTGTATTGCATGCATGATGGCAAATAACTAAATTGACATAATATTGCAATTTATTCTAACAAACAGTGATTAACTATTAAATTTGGTTTGATTATGTCTTAAATTTACTGATATCTGTATTTATTGTTATTAGAACTGTTACCTATTACATTTAACTTTTTAATTTAATAACACATTATTCAATCTTTTTATTGATGTACATATAGGTTCTTATTTTTATGTAATATGAAATATTATATAATATATCATAATTTATAATTAAATGGTTATTATGGCCATAGTTCATAAATTAAAATGTAGTATTTAATTGTGTTATAAGCAAATAAACATATATTTCATGTTATGTAATCAATCAAAATAATTAATTTTATCATAGTAATGATACTATTACCAATATTACTAATTTAATTATTATGTAATATAGACTTCTAGAAATTACATTATAATAGTTGGTAGGCATTTAAAATGTTTTATTGTAATATTGTATTGAAATGCCTAAATACATAATCATATTATAAATTAATATTAGTTTTTTTTTATTAAAACATTATGTTCTGTGTAAAATGTAAATTATTTCTATAATATAATTTCTTAATTTCTACATTTAAGGGTATGTCAGAGTATGTGTTGTCTTTGTCTTATTAACATATAACACACCGACTTTTAAGTGGTATACTTCTATCTATATTTAAAAACTAAAAGACTAAGAATTAATCAGCGATAGTTTCTCAAGAATAGATAAAACTGCTGTTCTATGTTTAGGATTTATCCTTAAATTTTCAAAGACCACTCACCAACTAGTTGTATATCAAACTCAAAGTAAACCATAAAATTTCCCATCAAACTTAAACGTAAAAATCAGGGAAGTGGGTATCAGTCTGCTGTACATTAGGTGTTGAGAGAAGTCACTGTAATGGATTTGTTAAATTTGAATTCTACGATATCAAATTATTGTATAACGATTCCGAACAAAGATTGTCTGTCAGCTTATAATATTACGTAGTACATTTTATGATATTATTGTCATTAAAGTACTTTATTTTACAATTTGGCATTAGTACTTCAGTAGCTTAAATTCATTGTTGCAGAAAAAATTATGTTTGAAAATTTTATTGTGTTTATAATATATTTTATAATTATAAATATCAATGTATGCTAAATAATATTTTTAAATTACTACAAAATATCTAAATCGTTATTCTTCATTTAAAATCTAATTTTGTTCAAATTTGAACTTAAGATATCTATAAAAAAAACTGTGTAAACTTATATATTTTTTTGATTTTTTAGTTAAGTATGAAGGACTTATGTGGAACCTTGTTTTAAATTTTCAATCCTTAGCTATACAAATTGAACAGTTTTAACTGCAAAATAATTTGCAAAATTTCAATTTGATAAATCTTGTCAACATTTGAACTTAAAATGCTTCTAAAAAAATTGTGCATATATATTTTTAATATTTTTAAACAGCTTTGTAACAATGCATTAAGAACATTGTAATACATTTTCAAAATTTTGACCCAACAAATAAAATTTTATTGACATTTATAGAAAATAAACAAAAAGTATTGAATATTTCAAATGTCTGTAGACACTTCAAAACTTCAAAATATTTTGAAAATTGTATCAAGTATAGAAAATGTTAAAATAAACATGTCTAAACATGTGTTATTTGTTTTTTAATTACAATGAAATAAGAAAATCAATCTAATAGAAATCGATGTCATAAAAAACTAATTTGAGTTTCCGGGAGACATTTTTTTTTTATAAAGATTGAAAAATTTATGAGGAATCTTATTCTTAAATTTTAGATGTATAATGACATTTTTTTAAGGAATTTAACTCAAAATATTTTTCAAGTTTTCTTAATTTTTCGTGATGGTTAAAAAAAAAACTAATACAAATCGAAAATTGCATATATGTACTTAAAAATACCACAACATGAGTAAAAATATTTTGAAAATATCATGGTGTACCACAAATTTAGTGAAAATTGCACGTATCTACTGTACATTTTTTAAGAGTTACAACAAAAACCAAAATCTATTTTGTTGATAACCGATTTTGCTTAAAAATTGCTGTTTTTCCTTAATTTTTTTTGTTTTTTCCGGCAAAAAACAACTGAGAATTTGAACCTCCTGAATGTACCAGCTAGTTTCACTTTTCCATTAGAAAAAAATTGGTGAAAATGGAGGCATTATTTTGACTGATATACACACGAAAAAAAACATTGTGAAATCAATATATTTATTGCTCCTCTAAGGATCTAAAATATTTTCTGTGTACTTTCATTAGTTTATACGTTTGAAGTCATGAGGATATAAAATGATATAATAGATATTGTAAAAATCTTACTAGAGAAGACATATAAAGTTCTTACCTTAAAGTTGATAATAATTTAATTCTAATATTACGGCTAAAACCATAACATGTAGAGACTGGTAAACATAAGTTTGTTATGTTGTCCATTTGCAAGACTGGAGACAATATAGGTGACGTCCTGTTATCAATTATTTTAATTTTATGTCGAGTAACAATAGAGTACCACAGAATAAATAAATTCTGTGATAGAACTTTAAATTACGGATTGTGTTAGTGAAATTAAATATAAATGTGTTGTTTGGGTTTTTGGATAACGCCTATCAATATATATTTTCTATAGAAGAAGATAAATTTACTTTCTATCTAATAACTATAATCTATCAGTAGGTCATCTAAGTATAAAAAAAATAATAATTATATTAATTTTTAATATTATTTATATGAATATTAATAAATTTTTAATTGTTGTAAATGCTGAGCTGAAACAAAGATAAATACATAGGTACTAGAGACTAGACTGATGACACTCTGCCACTTCCCTTATATTATCTAATTATTCAATGCAACCTATAATAATTTTTCAGTAAATCTTTGAGTGGATACCAAAATCTTATTAAATTGAATAACTTGTTAGTTTTTCGTATCTAATTTTTCAAAAAAAAACAAATATTAGATATCTGTGTTATTTTCGTATAATTTTTTTATCTAGCCGAACTGCTGATATTGAAATATATGTGCATACTGCCGACTACTGAGTCTTTAAATATTTTGTTTTATTAAGCAACCCGATTTTGACCGCTTTTTTTTCTGAAGCAATCTTCTTTAAACAATGACCCATTTTACGCGAAATTAAAGTCTGTTTGTATAATGTTGTTCATGTGTCGAAAACAAATGAATTTTTCGAAACAAAGTTATTGGTAAATATAAGTAGAATTGTAGGAACATTAGACATGTTGACGAATAGTTTGATTAATTAGAACATTTTTGTTTTTTCATGATAAATGGAACAATGTTAAGCGTGGTTTGATAATATAAGGTAATATTTATTGTGTGGTTGTATTTTTACAGGATTCATAAATAACAATTATTTTTGAGAGGGCCATCATCAGTTAAATATATTTATTTCCTTACACGCCTATAATATAGTTGAACCATTTCTTTGCATTTCACTCATTGTGAAATTGTTAAAATTAAGGTATTTTATTATAGAAATTATTGTCATAGAGAATAAAATTATCCGTTTTGTTTTTGTCAGAATTTTTTTTTAGTAATACTTATTATAAAAAATAAAAAACTTTAAAAATTTGAAGATTATCTAATTATAATTATAACTTTAAAAGTCAAGATACTAAAAAAAAGCTTACGACCAAACAGACAATATTACTCTTTATAATTATTGTAAATGATGTATTATAATTTAAAATAATAGACTATGATACTTTAATTTTAGTAATCAACAATCACAAATAGTTAAATACGGAAAGATGTTTTTAATAATATCTTCGTTTGTATAAGACAGGGAAATGTACTGATGCTCCGCGACCTCTTAAGTGTACATTATTTTCACCTAAATAGTTTATGTTAATAATTCACGAAGGTCATTATCAACAGTTTTTTGTGTAGTATGTACAACATATTTGATAGTTTATTGAAATGAGAGCAGGATAAACTAATAAAATATAAGTCATATCAAAAATAGTATACTGCCAAACCAGTGGTGAATAAATGTACCTATTTTAGTTTCACATATTAATTATAAAAATAATTTGTTACCCTTTTGGTGGTTTTTAGCAGTGGTCGGGACGCTACTGTTTTTTTGCAGCACGCTAACGCTACTGCTACTCCCCCCCAAAAGTAGCTCGCTATCGCTAAAGCTACTTTGTTTTTAAATTTAGTGCGCTACTTTTAACGCTATTGTTTAAATGTAGCGCGCTACTTTTTCGCTACATTTTTTTGATTTATTTATATAATATTCACTTGAGTAATTGGTCATTATTTGTTAATTCCTACCACTACTTTCTTGTATTTTTGGAAGACAGGTTTATTCAATGTATTTTATGTATTTTTGTAACAAAAATCAAAACAAATAAAAACGTTTTATTGAAAATTGCCAATAATTAGTAGTTTGTACTGATTAGACATTCGGTCACTGGGAGAAAAGACTTCACACAGTAAGGGGATGAGTGAT